AAAAAAAAATCAAATTTCAGGAAAGTGATCCCATTCTCCATCTTTGGAAGATATCCATTATAAGCTTTAGTTTACTTCAAAATCAACTCAATAACAGCCAACGCTACTAAAATGTAAAACCCTTACCTGTCCAATAATAGAGAACGTCAGGAAGAGATCCGCAAGCAATTTATTGGAATAAAGCAAGCAACTCCCACTCTGGAATATTTGAATTACAGGTAAAGCGAAGTAGCAGAGTAATCATAACTTCAGCACAGAACAAAAACGCAAACTTTGCTTAATAAGCATCCCTCAGAATCAAGGGCACGAAGCATTTTTTTCCACGGTCGCACACCCATTTTTAGCAGATAAATCTGGTCACGCTTGGTGGAAGGAAATTACTAATAAATTAAAGCATAACTAAGTTTACAAGTAATAAATTGATCAGGGATTATAACGTGTCAGCCAGATACCTATCATTAAAAAATCGATAGAAGCTGTTATGGAATGTTTCCCTTCCTTCCATTGTTGCATCGGTTAAAAGATAGATTTTTTCAAGGGGTACGTAAAAATGTACAAGTTGAAATCTGTTGGCTGGGCCAAAACCGAAAAGTCAACAGCTCACATGAGAATGAGCAGCTGTAGCGCTCGCAAAATGTTCCCTCGGAACTAATGATTTCTCAGCTTAGTTGGAAATAACAGCCCTGTCCCTATGGCGAACATTAATCTTTCTCATGCTTATGTTTTCCACCGACAAGCCAATGATTAGCTGGAATGTAGTTAGAGCGGATGAAAAACAATAATCACCTCTGAGTCACCACAGGGTTCCGATTGATATCGAATACAGCTCACGTCAAACATCCAACCAAAGAGAACTGGTGCTGGAATGGTTCCTACGACACGCACCAGAATTCCCTGAATACCCAACGCGAATGATCGCTCGTTGTAGTCCACCGTTCTAAAAGAAAAAACGCGTCGAGTTTGTCATCAACTAGTAACAATGATTGAAAGAGTGACAGTTTAACGAATATGTCAATCACCTCAGAATTACCGATATAATTGGAACGCCCACAGCAAACGTGCAAAGAGACAATGGAGCAAACATTATCAGAAATCCTAGTAGTCCTTTACATTTCGATTCACATAGGCCTTTTTTTACCTGCTTAACTCGAAGACGTGGGGTTTCCACTACACAAGAACAATTTGTATACACCTAAATTGAAGTCATAATGATATCGCCCTACAAACTTACAAGTAAATACAAAATACCTTTTGCATAGGTGTGTAAGGCTCTGAACATCCAGCGAAACATGGCGAATAATAAGAAAGCTGCCGTCCATCTACGAATTCAGCACAAACCGGGCGAAATTCAGCTTCACTGCACAGACAATGCGAGTTACATGGGCTTCGTAACGACGGCTCAACATCCGAGTAATTGCCCATGGAAATGTGACCATCTCTGGAAAATACAGGCCGTCAGAAAGCAGAGGACAAGACAGGAAACAAAAATGTTTCTCGAACACCATAAAGCAGTGAAATTTGACTTAGAGGATCAAATTTTCGACGGAAAACTGAAGTCGTAAAGGACGATCTTTGTTAGAAATAAAAGTAATCGAAAAAACATACTCACCTATCCGGATAAGTTGTTTCTACACCGACAAGAGGATCATGTGGGCAATATATGAGATACATTGGGGTGAGTACCAACGAGACGAAAAGTAAACCAACAGCAAGTTTGAGTGTTGTTACACAGTTCAATCGGAAATACTGTACTATGAAACCGGAAATCATGCAACCAATTCCAGCCATGGGGACCATAATGCATCCTAAACCATTATAACACCGGTTGTAAACATATAAAAATTCTGAACGACAGCCTATGAACTTAAATAATAACTGCATATTGAAGCTCTTCATTGTAACCCACCTATCAAGAGACTCGACCTGCTTGGTGGTACATTAAACTGCCTTTCCAGGTATTTTGACATGAACGATGATGCACCAGTGACAACAAGACCTACCAAAAGGCAGTTTAAAAGAGGAATGAATAAATAAATTTAATCAAACGATCCCAAACTAACTGTCGATCGCCATCGCAAGCGTGATGAGCATAAACGGAGCATTGGTGAGAATCCGGTAAATAGCTATGGGAATATGCCTCACATCCAACCACAGCTTGTACCACAACGGTCCTCTACCTCGAGTTGTAATTGAAGTGTACAGCAATGACGACTCTTCTAAACTCAAAAACAATTTAACTAGTTAAATCACAAAGTCAGATCAACAAACTCACCTGGCAAAGGCGCATCACGATAGAGCGCTGCCGTTTTGTTGGTACCAGCTAATCCACAACATTCGGGTGTACGCCTTCGCCCTGCTTGGGATGTTTCCACCAAACGATTTCTAAATGAGAATTATAATAGTATTACAGCAGTAACATCAAAATTAAGCTAAATATCACCAACCGATGCCATTTTAGAGATTCAGGTAATACTTTTGGAAGACACATGATTGGAACCACAGCAAGCATTGCGATGAAAGAAGCCAGAACAAAGCCTATCCACCAAGCTCCCACCCATGATGGATCAGTCTCATCTCCACTTACTCTGAAAACAAAACTTATTGCTAATAAGAAATTTCAAGTGAAAATTGAATTCAATAAATCGATGAAAAGCACTTCCAAAAGCCCTATATCATGTACTGGTTCGAGTCGCCCAGTAATATTGAAGAAAATAACGATCGATATTCGCTCCAAGTCACTACCATTGTGCGTATCAAGTCTATACTGATCTGCCAGTTTAACTTAGGGCTCGTTACCCTCACAACAATCGCCCCAAATGAAAGACAGAAAAAGAAAAGCTTGGGTAACCCAAATGGAATCTCATGTAGTCCCAGGCCTCTAATGAAGAACTCTGTTTCATTTAGACACATTATCGTTATCGTGTCGTTTGCTTGATTCCAAACGGGTAGCATTTCTTTAGGATTTGTCTCATTCAAACACCGACGACAAGTCTTATCACTGAAAACTATAGACCGGCGGTCCCATTGCGATCACTTTCCTTCTACTAGAAAGAACGGGATGAAAACGCGCAACTATGGTGCGTGTTTCACCTGGGATTAACGCCTATGACTGCAAGTGACAGCTGTCCAACAATAACTAAACACGATCATCGCCCATCTCTCACTCGTTACGAAAATCCTCAACAAAAAAGTGGTCAGGAACAAAGGCTCCGTTACCTTGTCATATTCTCCGAAAGGCTCAGCCTCATGCTGTTTCAAGGAAGTCGTGTTAAGGCAATGCTGGAGGTTCAGTCAACTTACCGTGAAATTTGTTCAGCTGGAAGATGCCAGAAATCCGTATGGTATGTCAGAAATGTACCCGCAGTTAGAAATCCCGCAGCTGGACCAAAGACGGCAAAAGAGTAAAAAATGCCTACAAAATGACAACAAGTCAGTAAACAAAAAACAAGACAATACTGAAAGAAAATACTCACCCACAAACAATGATGAAAGCGCTTTGCCCACATTCTCGTCAATGTATGACACTCCAATTGTGAACAAAGGTGTAGCACCGATACCATGTAGAAAATGAGCCAAACAGAACAGAAATACAAATCGAAAAGTCCCTGGCTAAAAATGGCTAACAGTTAAATGATGGGCCATCTGGGCAACCGAGGAAATCATAGGACACGTTCACATGAATAAAGAAAAGCACCTGATTTTGTTTTTGAGCGGCACAGCTGGCGGTCAGGGCCGAAGCGTCCGCATCCGAAGAATTCCACAAAGCTGAAAAAAGTGAAACGACTACTGCAGTATGAGCAGTATTGAATTTCAAAAGGCCTAGAAGAATATTTCGAGGAACCTACATTTGATGGAACAAGCTCCTAAAGATTTGTGATCCTGATTAGCCGAATAACTATCTGCTAGCATATGAGGCGTGGAAAACAATAGACTACCAATACATATAAGAGCGAGACCAGCACCAAGTACGGCAGGTTTACTATGCCGTCCACCAAAGTAAGACACAGGTATGCAAAACAAAACGTATCCAAAGTCGTAGAACTAAATGAAAAGAACAAAAAAACATTTATTCATTCAGAAAAAAACCAAAACTTAAGCCTAAACAGTACCTGTACGATGCGACCCATAGTGCTTGTGCTGAGTTTAAACCGACGTTCTATCGATGAGATCGCGGAAGGCACGAGACCATTAACGACAATACCTTGTACTGCACAGTACCAGCATAATAACGTAATCATCCATCTACGAGAACCCAAAAATGACAACCATGATGGCCTGTAATTATAGCATATGTGAAACGATAAATAAAGCATTCCATGACTTGGCCATCAGTGTTGGGGGAGGAGGCTAAAAATAGAAATCATTGAAAGAGAAAAAGAGCTGTCGTGCCATGGCTAATCTCAGGGAACAAGTCATTACTCTTGCCAGCTCAGGCTGATCCGCTACGCCGCATGGAGAGCTACTGACAATTCATCAAACTCACCAACCATTAACTTTTTTACATGGGAAGCTACTTCGAACGTTCAAGAAAACAAAACAAAGATACTTGAGCGAGCTTGGAAAGCTACTAAATCCAGCAAGACAGGTCCATTCCCCCTAGGAAATCTTTAGTGCTTCATTGTTATCCCGTTCTGATTCAGGCCCTGGATAAAACCAAAGCAACCAAATTACATTTCGATACAAAGCTATCCTCTCATGAGTAACATCAACGCCCTGACGCCGTCAATCCAGTACTTTATAAATTATTCACTTTCTACGGAAACATTTAAAAAATCGAAAATCATTCTCTGCTGCCGCGTATAATGGGGTTGGCTTAAACCCAATCCAAGGCCTGTTTGAACTAGTCTTGCACTGCTGGTACAGCCATATATCTATGACAGCTATCTTTCCTGATGATCTAGAACAGTGTAATTTCTCATAAAAACGAATTTCCGATCTGCTTGGAGCTCAAAAACTAGGAGTGAAAACAAAAACATCAACAACAACGATAACAATACATACTAGCCCTAACCTACCTCCATTTTCCAAGTCCACATTGTGACTCCTGTACAAGAACACTCATTTCCATCTCGATGATTTCATTTTGCTTCTCCTATATGAATATAATCATATAAAACGATGTCTTCAACGATGCCTTTGAATGTTTTGATGATTCATTCCAAGACGATGAATCAAATCGGTTTTGTTGTAAAGAAATATGACTGACTTGCCACTGCCTATCGCGAATGTCGCATATTCTACGAGGTTTTTCCACATTACGGTAGGGGACACCTTGAGAGGCTTGCCGGCTGTGGCTCCTGAATCAATGTATATCATGGACCAGTCCACATCACGCACGACACACACACATGCATGGATTTGTTTGAACAGCTACATAATTAAAGGGGACCATCAGAATTTGAAATACTTTATTGAAGTGTTTCGAAAACTTTCCATTTTTATGTAGAAATAACAAAATACCCTGAAAAGTGTCAAATGGCGGAGAGATATGAAATTGGAAGTTGTTTTGTTCAGTTGTTTTCGAATAAAGATCTACATTAATGGGTATTGCCACCGCATGACAGTATGGCATTGAAAATTCCATACACAATCAACACATTTATAAATAAATGTTCCCAAATTAAATGCAATTTGGAATCATCCGCCGCCGCATCACTTGACAAACGTGTGATAGCAATAAAAAGTAATACATACAATAGTGCAGTAAGTTATCAGATTCTTCAAAGGATACGTATCAATGGCTCAAAAACCCTTGACCATCTTTTTTTCGTGAAATAGCTGTTTAGAAATTAGTGTTAAACTTGACTCCACCGTTTCCCTGCCATCTGTTCAGGAGCTACACTTATGAAACAGGGTATGACGTCGCAGTGGTGGGGTTGAAGCTTTTGAGGAGATTCTCTTCCCATTTCTCAATCACATTCCAAAAAACAGGGCCGAAGGATGGTGTTACGCTCTCGTTATTCAACCATCAACGCCATAACCCGTGTTGTTGACAGCCTAGTTATTTTCCGACTCCGTTCAAATCTATGGCAACTCATTATCAGACCTTTATCAAGAGCAATTCCTTCGATTATGACTTTAACCCTGGCATGCCCCTTCTGCCAGCTCATCTTTTAAGTCTACCTGATGCTTCGTGACAGAGCATGCAAGGAACCGAGGTTAACTGGGATATTTAAGGCTAAAAAGGCTATCGAAACTCCTCTTAAAGTACGAGTTTGATGAAAGTGGGATTCCTAATAGAGAGAATTTGCTCAGAAGCTATTTAGATCCCGCCTAGGTAACCACATTCAATTTAAAAAGGCTCGTTAGTGAAATTTAAAAAGGCTCGTTAGTGAAGTAATGTTTGAGTAAACTTGTTATTCACCACAAACTCTCGTAGCGGTAACAGTACTGGTAATACGATACGCAATTTAAAAAAAAAACTTGTAGAAAACTTGAAATGTTTGTAGATTCTGGATACACTACAGACTACAACAGAAAGGATAGAATGGTGAATATAAAGGCCGCCAAGAAGGATGACTTTCATTCAAAACGAGAAGCCCACTCGGGCTGCAACAGAACTTGCCGCAAGAGAATTGCCCTTTCGTTTTTCTTTTCGTTTCGATTTTAGCAGATATACAAGGATGAAAATCAAGAATTGAATTGACAATGTGACAGAAGCATATATTGAATGCAGACAAAAGGGTGAAAAGGGGATAAAATAGAATAATTTGTATCTTCAACACAACAAACACACTACAAAACTATTTAAACATGTGGAGCCGTAGTATTGATCGACTTTTTATACACAACAAAAAAATGTAGATGGGAGACATGATAGGTCAAAGAACAGGCTGAAACAAACCATTTAGTGGCCCGACTACGTCTTGGCGCTCCGAGATCCCCGGGTGCAGATCGAGTTTCGGCATCCGCATCCGAGTCTCCTCCATTGCTTTCTGTTCCCTTCATCATGGCATTGCCTAAAACTCAACAAATGCCAATAACTCGAAGTCATAGCTGCCCTCGTTCATGTAAAGACAACAACAACAAAAAACTGCACGAAATTCTAATGGAATTCGGACTTATACGGCTGCAGCAGCCGTCTGCCCAACTGGCTGCCGACTGGAGAACGAGCACTTAGTCGGATTGTTTCTGATCGACGACACATAACCGCGAAGTATGACAGGCACATTGAGACTAGTAACATTCGATAACAACATGGCACTGTACTGATATGGTTGTTGAAAAAGAAAAGAAAACACTTTGGACACTGACAAAGAGCTCTGTTGCAAAAGTAACGTTGAAACAAGATAGAAACGAAAGATTTGAGTACGACCAGGTTACAAAAGCTTTTTTAATGGAACTTTTTCAACTATCAGCATTACTAATGAAGACCAACGATCGGCAAACGGAATCGCATCACTTCCCATGGTAAACAAGGTAGGAGAGAGGGATGGCACGAATGCATGCGTGGCAGTAACACAGGCGCGCCCACACAAAGAGAGAGCGCTTGGGGTGGCGAGGCTGAGCGTGACTTAGACAAGCCGAGGGGACGGGAGGGCCAAAGTGCGAATGTGGTCGCGTGTGTGTGTATGTGTCTCTCTGTGTGTATGCGTGGACAGAAGGAAGGCTGTGGGCGACGGTTGGTGTGCTCCAATCGCAACATGACGACTTTTTATTATCGTTGACGTAGGACGGCAACCACTTTACAGGAACGAAGATTAAGTACGAGCTGAAGAGCCGTAGGCCACGGGAAGATCTGAGCGGAACGAAGGCTAATTTCAGAGCGGAGAAAGCGCCATCTGAGTGCTGTCGAGCAAATGGAATCACGTATGGCAATATATTGCCGAGGCGATGTCTCAGAGAAACATTTCAATCTCAGATGTTGCTGGCTGGCTGGCTGGCCGGCCGGCCGGCCGGCTGGGCTGCGGCTTCACGCCAGCCAGCCTGGCGGCGCAGACAAGAAAACGTGTGAGGATGAGCTGAACACGAGGGGGTAGAAAACGTGAGCGATCGGTGGCAGCCGAGAGAACGTGCACGCCTTCTCGACATGCGCTTGTTTTCTGGTCTTTATGGATGCACTTCGTGATTGGCATCGACATCCATGAACATCCCAAGTTTGACCGAATTCTCCCGGATACAACGCCTTCCCACCAACAACAACGTAACCCACCAGGATACCTGGACATACATAAGTGACATGTTTACACATACCGCTGTAAACCCTCCAAATCATGCTATCCTTCCATGTCAGCGGTGCTGCGTTTACTTTTCTTCACATTTTTCTTCCACCTCCCTGAACTTCAAACTTTGAACTAGTGACCACGACAGGAAGGGACAACATTCTGCAATGGAGAGAAATGTCACTTGGCCTACCAGTTTCCGTTCACATTTAGTGGTTCAGAAAGCGATCTTTGCAATTCAGCCTTACTTGCCACGTATAGTGGATAGGCAATTCCCAGCCCATTTCAACATGCATTTTACAACTCGGAATGTGAATCAGTAATCGTAAAGTTCCGTGACGTTTTTCGCCATTTCTTCTTGTGGCTTTCACTTGCTTATGACTCACATCAACGTTGCTGAAGTCACTGCAATAAAAAAACTTCACACTAAATCAGATGATTCTGACGCTCCGACTGAAGAGAAGAAAATTATTTCCCCAACATTACAACACTTAATTTACACAAAATTCCTGTTATGCTTCTATAGAACGTAAGAAATCTGAGAATCGAAAAAAATCTAAGAAATAAAATACTAATAGGCAAAGTAAATGCTCTAGAAGATGAACCAAACTCAAGATGGCAGTGGTTGACTCTTTTTATTTATACAAATCTATCATGGTACAACACTTACTATCTTCATTAAATACTCTTTGACTGAATAAAAACGAAATTCAGGGAGAAAACAATTACAACACCGTTCACATAGTCAGTCACATTATAAGCCCAACTACTATACTAGTACTAGACCTCGAAGGTTATTAATGAAAGCTCCTCAATACTGCCCACTGACTCCTTGAAGCTTTCTGCCACCCTCCGCTTGCACTTGCTCATGGAATTCCGCCATACGACGTTCCAGCTCCGGACGGAAATGACGAATCAGTCCCTGGAATAGCTACGTTAGAAAAAACGAAGCCCGTTTTCGCCTCATTAGACAAAGTTCTCCAAACGGGCCAGCTTTACGATTACTTTACTACAAAAAGAGGTAACCATTGCACTCTACATGACAACCAAAGCCATCTCCAGAAATCGACTTTCCTGAGAAAACCGATTTTAACACATCAACCAACTCTCATATTCAGCAGAGTTACCTAAAGGTCTCTCTCACGATAAAATAGTTTCGAAAATTCGCGTTAAGATGAACCTTTGAACCTAAGAGCAGCATGTGGAACATTGTCGAGTTTAAAATAGACCTTAACAGGGCGTTATGAGGGCTTCAGAACAGGCTCTGCCGACGTTCACACCCAGAATCGGCCAAGTTATGACAGCCTCGTTACGGCTGTACCATTCACAATGAAGCATTAGGACACCGACAAATAGTACGCTTATGTTGGAGACACCCAGACGATTACAGACACACAATCTCATACAACCCTATTTCTCACTGCTTCCTTGGAGACTNTTTCTCAGAATACGCCGATTTTTCCGCTTTCTTCGCCATTTTCGTGCTGTCGGAACTTTTTTCCTTTTTTTTTGAAATAATTCTCAACAATTCACTTGGGCTTGATGCTTCAGAATTATCGTGATCTGTAAAATTAAGAACAATTTTTTTACATCTGACTAAGGAGGCGCAAATGGAAATTTAAAAATGTTCTCAAAAACCCCGCCCCCTACAGCATGCCTGTTTACTTTGAACGTGAAAAAAAGCCCGTTGAATCTGAAAAGGGATGACGGAAACAAATTGCAACTCGTCGTTCTGCAACCCTCGGCACTCTAGCGGCATGCGTGAAACAGGAAATGAATACGAAAATAAAAACTCGCTGTTTATCGTGCCTGTTGTGATTGGCAACATCAATCATTTTATGACACCACAGAACGTCACTGGTTGAGTGGGTTTCACGCCGCAAGGGACAATACATTACTTGATTGTAAGAATTTCCAATGGAGCACGATGTTACCAAGCGCAATGTAACCTTCAGTTTACCATCTACGAATACCTTGAAATTCCATCCATGAGAATGGCTCGAATATTTCTAATTTCTACAATTCAATTTACATCACTGCTTATACTCACAGAGGAATAATCGCTCCTGAGCTGGGAGACCAGGGTCAGAAGGTAAGAAGTGGGAAACCAAGGTCTGTATAGAAATTGAATGATTGAACCCGCTTATTTCTGTGGAAATCCAGGGTAATTGTTCATCCGAATGTTTCTGACGGATGGATATCCCCAAGCCTAACTTGAGTGCTCTTCGAAAACTACTTCGAGCACAAACTTCTGGAAAAAGCGCTGAAACACTGACCATTTGAGGAATTCACCGATTGATAAGTGATCTATTACAGCCCTGACCAATCGATATGAAATCATTTCGCTGAACAGTTTTTCAGCAACTCTTCACGAAACGCTTTTATACTCCACCGAATTCAGCTTTGCATCAACGCACCAACACCTATAAGGAATTCGAGAATACTGGGCATCTCTAAGAAGAATTGCGAACAAGCGGAGATGAGCAAAATCGCATGACCCAACTTAACAACCCAACCACTCGTACGCACAACTCTAAACGTCTACAGCCTAAAGCGACTGTAAACTGGAAGGTATCCTACCCTAAACCGCTCTCCGCTCTCGCCGTTCAGCGCATTGTAATGCAAAAATTCCGATACAACATTTTCAAAGGGTTACTGCTCTGTAAACAGACCACTACTTGGGCAGCAACACTGTGAAAAGATTATCGCTTTGTAAACAGATTTTTACTTCTTAACAGGGAATTGCATAAGCGCCTTTCCTATTTACATAAACCACCCCTACAATACTTTCAAATGGGCTCTCTTCAAGCAAAACTTTACATTCTGTTAGAAACCATCTGAGTTGACTGCAGTTAAAATTTAAAAACCGTTTTTAGTGAGTCTACTTGAAGCTGTGTTGAACAGGGAACAGGAAGTTCCGAAAAAAATTTAAAATGAACAGCGACCATTTTCGAGTATTTCGAGTTTCGAGACGACGTTTGACATTTAGAGTTAGGAATACAAGTTATGGAAACGGACAGCATCACAAGAGGGTACTCTCAAATCTACCACGACCAATATTTTGATCGGATACTTCTTTTTTGAAAAGGAAATTATCTTGTAGAAGAGTGCAAATCGAAATATAAATCATCGCGGATCGATCGTTCCAATATGCAGTCAATCATCAATAAAACCATGCTGCGCACATTGCAAAGAAGAGCTCATTACTATCCAAAATGATTGATAGTGTCTTTGAACAGGGATTTATTGCTATACGCCTACAGGGGGCACACATCATACAATCCTGCAAGATGACTAAAACACTTTGTTATAAGGTCCACAAACTACCAATCGATCGCCCTTTTGCTTACAACCAAAAGCAGACGTTACAAAAAGTACGTATCAGGTGATCAAAAAAAGAAACGTTGCCTACCTGTACTGGCCAAGCAGCAGCGTCAGCAAAAGCACAAATCGTATGTCCTTCCATTTGCCTTGATATCTCCCATAGCATATCAATTTCATTCGGTTTCGCCTTACCATCGACAAATCGCCACATGACCTTATTCAACCAGTTACAACCCTCTCGACATGGTGTACACTGAAAAATAGCAGCATGCTAATCGTAAACTTCATAAATTCATTACTTTCAAATGCATTTCAATTTATTCTGACCTGTCCGCAGGATTCGTGTTTGTAGAACAACGAAAGACGAGCAATGCATTTGACAATATCCGCCTGAAACGTTCGGAGCGTATAACTAACGAACAGAAACAAGCTCGAGAAATATGAAAACTACGTCAATGTAAATAAAGTAGGTAATACCAATGAATACCTGTTTATTCATGACGATCACAGCAGCTGTTCCCAGACCGGACTGTACTTCTATTAAAGCATCGAAGTCCATAAGAACATTGTCACATACGCTTCTACAAATTTCTCCATATACTATTAGTGAGAAAAGAGAAGATGTGAAATTTCATACTTGGGAATGAGAGGGACAGATGATCCTCCAGGAATAATCGCCAGAAGATTATCCCATCCGCCAATAACTCCACCGCAGTGTCGCTCAATGAGCTCTTTGAGGGGGATGGACATCTCTTCCTCCACCGTGCATGGATTATTCACATGGCCAGAAATGCAAAACAACTGAAAACTCGTATTTGAACTCCTTCAATCTCAAAAATCTGAAGATATGATCACCTTTGTTCCACGGTTGCGTTCGCGTCCAAACGATGCAAACCAGTCACCGCCTCTGCGGCAAATCGTCGGTGAAACGGCTACCGTCTCCACATTGGTAACTGTGGTCGGACAACCGAACAAGCCGATGTCAGCAGGGAATGGCGGCTTCAGACGTGGTTTACCTTGCTTTCCCTCTATCGACTCAATCAACGCCTATAATCAGCTTAATGA